ACAATAAAAAGCACTAATAAATGGCACTACGACATTTGCTTCGCGAAACATGGGATATATCTTGTGAAATCTTTACATTAAGCATGCACAGAAACCGAAACCGAAACTTCGACTCCGTCGGGCAACATTGGCCTTGGGCGGCTAAAAACATGGCCATCACGTGGTACGAGCGGTCACGTGATCGTTTACGCGACGACGGGCGAAATCGAGGCAGTCCACCGTTGGGGCGGGCGTCTCCAAGGCGCAAGTTTCGTCTGGACCGCCGTCTTCTGCGTGTTTTGGTGACAACGATTCCGAAGGCGTCTGCATAACTGCGGCAATAGTCTGCACTTCTGCTAGTAAGCTTTTCTTTCAAATATATATCTCGTCAGCGTTCGTGGCTAAAGTCTAGTAAACAACACGCAAATACCTCATGACGTTTAATTTACGCTGAACGAAAGGGACCGCAGCAAAGTCGGCAGCCGTAGTGGGTTCGCTTATTTCCCCAATAACGTTGATGCAATACGGCTTAGTTGCAAACGACTACCTTTGTTTATTACACAATCATCGCAGCTTCGCCATGTTTAGTGATATGCCAAGTTGTTTCCCGTTTACACGCAACAATGGTATGTCGTCGAAAGTCCGGCAATTGCGACTCTTTGAGGAATACTTAAATCCGCGCCGAAACAGCATAACGAAAGCCATACTGACACTTAGTAAACATGTAATCACGTGCTGCAATTCGTTTGAACGGCCGGATAACTCGGAGCTTGAAAACGAACGAGTCCTCTTAGGTGCGTCTTCGCGCCTCTCGTTTCCACAAGCGCGCGACACTGGTACATGGCGAAACGCGCGCTTTGCAACGTGTTAGTCGTTTCATCGTGCCTCTTTTTCCTGCTTTAGCAGCATGCATCATGTACTTTTTAAATAGACTGCAGATGTCTCGTTGTTTCAGATGTTTGTTTTGTGATGAGCGAGCCCCTGTGCGCGTTTTTTTCCGACGTAACAGAAATTTACGGGAACAATCATTTGGTCAGCCGATAACAGCTAATTGGTTAGTGGCACGATAATGAGTGCTCGGCAATACCTTACCGCAACGCCATGCCGGTCAGCGGCAGTGCGTGTGCCGTTCCACTGCTCAATACCGCCGTGCTGATCTTGCTGCTAATGCGTGAAAGTCCTAAGCTAGCGCCTGTACATACGTGTGCAACGCGTCAGCTCAACATCATGATATTAACCACCAAAAAAATTTTATCTGCTTATTGAAACTATATTTTTGCAACACACAAGTTAGAACTATGTGTATGCACTGTTCCTGTTATATCTGTAAAGGTCGCATGTGATTCGCCCAACGTTATTACGTCACTCTTGCTTACGTCTATAAAACAGACTGTCTGGCCGTAATAAAGATTCAGTACGTTCCAGCTACCCGGAGAGCCTGTCTGCCTGCGATGCTGCGATAGAACAAGTTGGCAAAGAAGATGGGGTAAAGGATCAGCACATTCCCCGACGCGCCGGCAACACAACAGGGCCTGAACCGCCAGTCATCGTTCGTCGGCAGCTGGCTCCAGCACGGCCAGCGGAAAGGACCAGACGAAACACCGTGAAAAAAAGATAAGTGGAAACAATCCGCCGGAACATGACGCAGCCACCGGCAGGGCATTTTCAAAGGCTCGGTAGCATGCGGGAATTTGATCCGAAGACTGACAACATTAGGTCTTACTTCGAGCGGTTCGACAATTACGTCGACATTAACGACGTACCCGAAGGAAAAAAACTGAAACTGTTTCTGAACGTGCTTGGCCCACAGGCGTATGAAGAGCTAAGAAAGATTGTCCTACCAGACATCCCTACCGCGAAATCGTATGCTGAAGTAAAAAGACTCCTGGAGGACCACTACAGCCCGCGATACTCCGTAATTGCCGAGAGGTGTCAGTTTAAAGGGGCGGTGCAACGATTTTATGATTAAAATAATTTCCATCTCGTCATTTTTACGTTGTTTATCGTGTCCCAGAGGATAGAGAAAACACTTCCTTCATTAAAAATGTCGCGATTCCGCTGCATAATCGCAAAGCAAAAGTCGAGCTTTTTCTTCCACCTGCAGCCCCAAGTGGCAGCCGAAGGAACTGCGGCGGAAAGATTACGTGACCTCGCTCGGCTCTAAGCTGCAGCATAGCGCCCGCTAATGTACGCAGAGAGAGGGAGGGTAAGCGTCCTCCGAGATAGCACAAGGGAAGCTACACGGCACTCCGAATGACGTCACTGGGAGTGCGACCAGGTGTGACCCTGAAGACTGGGAGTGAGTTGAGGGGTGCCCGAAATGCCAATCTTTATCTTTTTTTTGCGCAACAACGAGGACACGCAGGCGAAATCGGTTTTCTGTTCTTTACTTCAGAAGTGTCAGGGGGCAACTTCCAAAAATCTTTGACCGAAGTCCGAAAATCGTTGCACCGCCCCTTTAATCGCCGACATCAACGTGACGGAGAAAGCTTGCAAGAATTCATTACAGAACTCAAGCACTTGTCGAGGAACTATTCTTTCGGAACTTTCTTAAACGACGCTTTACGCGATAGGCTGGTGGCCGGACTACGTGATGAAGAGACCCAAAGATTTTGTTCGCAACTGCGCCACTGTCGTTCGAAGAGGCTTGCAAAATCGCCCTAGAGAAAGAACTAGCCGCAAAGCAGACAAAGCAAATGCACGCGCCTGACGGGCCCGCGGGTACCATAAATGCCGTTAACAAGATAAAATCAGGCAAGGCTACAAAGGAGCGCCAAGTTAATCAAGAAAACGCTTCGGGAAAAGCGAGTACATGCTATCGCTGCGGAAAGGGTCATGAGCCTGATAAGTGCCGGTACCGCACGTATAAATGTAAGGCTTGTTCTAAGACTGGACACTTACAAGTAATGTGTCGAACTAAACATCGGAGTCACCGGGTTAAAGCAGTAGAAACTACTGACAGCGAATCTGATGACATAGAAAGCCACGTGGTGTTCTTCGCGAAAGAAAAGATACCCGGTTACAGCGTCAGCGTTTCTGTTGAAGGAACACCGGTGGAAATGATTTTGGATACCGGGGCAGCAGTAACCCTGATGCCTCAGAGTTTGTTTAAAGAAAAGTTTCCCCACGTCCATTGCGACCAAACTAATGTGTCGCTGAAAACTTATACTGGAGAGAAGGTGCCAGTAGTTGGCAAGGCGAATGTAAAAGTTGACTACGAGGGACAAAGCCTGACTCTACCGCTTTTTGTTGTGCAGAACGATGATAAGAAAAGGCAAGTGTTGATGGGTAGGAGTTGGCTCGAGCACCTTAAAATTAACTGGAATGCAGTGTGCCTTGTCACGGCGCCCGACAAGGTAGCTGCGTTGCGGAAGAAGTTCCCTGAGCCCTTCAGGGATTCGCCGGGCATTGTCAAAAATTATGAAGCCCACATAGCGGTTAAGGAAAACAGTCAGCCGGTTTTCTGCAAAGCGAGACCTATTCCCTTTGCTCTTAAGGACGAGGTAGCAAAAGAGCTGAACAGGCTCGAAGAGCGTGGAATATTGAAGCACGTCACTAAAAGCGACTGGGCTACGCCCTTGGTGGTTGTGCCGAAGAAAGCAGGAGGGGGCATTAGACTTTGTGGTGACTAGAAAGTAACAGTTAACCCCGTGCTCAAGATGGATGTTTACCCCCTGCCGCGGCCCGAAGACTTGTTTGCGACACTGGCTGGGGGAAAAGTCTTTTGTGTGCTGGACCTGTCGTCTGCGTATCAGCAGGTGCCCCTGAGCGAGGAATCCAAACGCCTGCTGACGGTCAACACTCACCTAGGGCTCTTTGAGTATCAGCGTTTGCCTTTCGGAATCGCCAGCGCACCGGCGATTTTTCAGTCTTTGATGGACCAGGTCTTCCAGGGCATCCCGGGAGTCGGATGCTATATTGACGATGTTATCGTTACAGGAACAGACATGTAAACTTGCCAAGCTACCGTGGAGAAAGTGCTGCAACGCTTACAGAAGTATAACATTACCCTGAAGGAAGACAAATGCAGGTTCTTCCAGGACTCCGTGGTTTACCTCGGACACAAGGTTTCGGCAGAAGGGATCTACCCAACCGACACCAAGGTAAAGGCTATCATTTCTGCCCCAGAGCCGACAAATGTTACAGAGCTAAGAGCCTACTTGGGGTTGTTGACCTTTTACGGGAAATTTCTTGAGAACTTTGCAACGGCAGCTGCACCCTTGTACGAGCTCCTCAAAAAAGACCGTCATTGGAAATGGACAAAGGCATGTGCAAAAGCCTTTGAAACAACGAAGCAGCTTCTTTTGAACAGTCAGGTATTGACGTACTACGACGTCAATAGACCGATAGGAGTGAGTTCTGATGCGTCAGCGTACGGCCTGGGGGCCGTTATCTTTCACATTTTGCCAGATGGAAGCGAGCAACCCATAGCTTTTGCTTCGCGCACGTTGAGCACTGCCGAACGAAACTACGCGCAAGGAGAGAAAGAAACTCTTGCCATAATTTTCGCATTGCGACGGTTTCACAGATACCTGTATGGCAGGAAGTTCTGCTTATTCACGGACCATCAACCGCTTCTTGGAATCTTGGCTCCAGACAAGCCTATCCCGTCAGTAGCGGCTACTAGGATGCAGCGTTGGGCAGTCACGCTATCTGCTTATCAGTGTAGCTTAAAGTATCGCAAAGGCAAAAACATGGAAGTGGCCGACGCTTTATCGCGCCTCCCGCTCCCTGTTCCAGCTGCGGAAGAACAGGAAGAATGCTTGGCTTTATTTGCGGCTACGCCGTTAACTGCGAAAGAGGTGGTACTTGCTACACAGCGCGACCGCGTTTTATCAGCGGTTGCTGACTTTACTTTAAACGGCTGGCCATCGTCAGTCTCCGAGGAACTGAGGCCTTTCTACGTCCGCCGCAACGAACTTTCCCTGGAACAGGGCTGTCTGTCATGGGGCCAGCGGGTTATCGTCCCTTTAACCCTCCAAGAGCAAGTATTGACACTCTTGCATGAAGAACGTCCCGGAATGACGCGGATGAAGATGCTTGCTAGGTCGTTCGTTTGGTGGCCAACTTTGGACGGCGACATTGAAACGAGAGTTCGTCACTGTAAGGTATGCCAAAGTGTTCTGCCAGCAAAACCGCCAGGACCCCTGCAGCCCTGGGCGTATCCAAGTCGCGTATGGCAACGGATACACGTCGACTACGCAACGAAGGAGGGCTTGAACTTTCTTGTGTTGGTGGATGCTTTTTCAAAGTGGATTGAAGTGTTTGTAGTGTCAAGCACGACCACTGAAAAAACTGTGCGGTGCCTCAGCTCTGTTTTTGCAGCCTACGGTTACCCAGAAGAGTTGGTGAGCGACAACGGCCCACAATTCACCGCCGAGGACTTTGGGGTCTACCTGCAGCGGCATGGCATAAAACATACCCGGATACCACCGTATCACGCAGCCTCGAATGGAGCCGCTGAGCGCCTGGTACAAACTACGAAGACTACCCTGTTGAAACAAGTAAGACATGATCAAATCACCGGGGGGAAAAGGACTATTCTGGAACGAGTAAATGATTTTTTGTTGGCGTACAGGAATACACCAAATTCGGTTACTGGGAAGACCCCAGCAGAACTGTTTTTGAACCGTCAACCTCTTACACTGCTTTCACTGATACGACCAAACTTTGCAGGAGACATGAGGACTAAGCAAGAACGCGAAACTGCACTACGAAACGGCCGAAGAGGTCGGGGAAAGTCGTTTATAGCAGGTGACAAAGTACTTGTAAAAACGACTAGAGGCGAGGAAGTGTCCTGGGAAGAAGGGCTGGTAACTCAAGTTGTGAGCCCCACTACATATTTGGTGAATGTGAATAATCGAACACGGTTCATCCATATGGACCATCTCCGTGCAAGTTGGGCTTCTTCGACTGGGTCTGTTTTCCTGAGATCCCAGCTCCAACACCGAGCGCCACAACGGAAGCAGTCCCGGAGGGCAGCCGCGCTGGTCAACTACCCAGGGCGGAATCTCCTGCTCCGAGGTTCCACGCCGCTGAGCTCCCGAGTCAAGGCACCGGCTCGGTTCCATACCCAGAGCAGCTCCTCGAGGTACCTGAGCCCGATGATCGACAGCACACTCAACACAACGCTTCTGCCTCCGAGCCTCCTGCAGCTGCTCAGCAAGATCAAGGCGACGGATCTGCCTCTGCGTCTTCAACAGCAACAACGCTTCGAAGAGGAAGCCGGACCCGGAAAGCACCGGACCGCTACCAATCGTACGAGTTTCGTCGTCAAGCCAAGTAGACTCGACCGTAATGACATGTATGGCGGTTTTAAAGGCGGAAGGAATGTTATATCTGTAAAGGTCGCATATGATTCGCCCAACGTTATTACGTCACTCTTGCTTACGTCTATAAAACAGACTGTCTGGCCGTAATAAAGATTCAGTACGTTCCAGCTACCCGGAGAGCCTGTCTGCCTGCGATGCTGCGATAGAACAGTTCCCAAACAAAGTAAGACACACATATTATGTAAACTGCTACGTTAATGCTACTCAGTAATAAAGGAGTCTGTTTACAGTTCACAAGAGCTAGTTCAACACCCAGAAAAAAAAAGATATAGCTCTGGTGTTTACAGTTCACAAGAGCTAGTTCAACACAAAGATAAAAAACTATAGCCGTGGCAAAATAGAAGAAAACAGATGCAGAAGGAACATCTATATGCTCACAGCATATACTATCAATGCACATAATCATTTATTAAATGAAGAAGAATGTACTCATATCAAGGATTATTTCTAAACTACCTGTATAAAAACAGAGAAGTCAATTTTCTGAGATATGCACCCAAATGTTTCATTGATGCACACGCGTTACTGCCAATATCTATGTCAGACGATGACAGCCTGCCACTGGGGGCAGACTTCGGAGGCGTGGACCGGGGAGCAATGTATGTTTCCGATTCCTGCGATTTCGACCCTCTCGTACCAGCAAGGGAGCGACGTGCCAATGGGCGGCAGAAAGGCCAGATGTCCCAAGTACAGTAAGAACCAAGTTGCCCAGCCTATGTGCACACCTCGCTTTTCCTGGGGCGGCAAAGATAATAAGGACCATAGTTTCTTAATGGGAGGCTATTTCAAACTTGACTTAACACTTCTTCAGCTGTATATCTGAAAACTTCCCACAAGGACGTGGGGCAATCTTGCCGGGACATGACCAAAATCACGCACAAAAACTTGGAAAATGCATTACAAGCAATGAGCTGTTCACACTGCTGTGTCTAAATGTGCGGCTGTTGGACATTGCGTATGAGCAACTCAACGTTTTCGGCCAACGTATTTGGAGCCAGCTGCCGGGGATCGAAATAGGTAAGATCTCTCAGAGCTGATAAAAGTGAATACAACATTTTAAGCGCGCCCGTAAATCAAACCTAGTAGATATTGAAAAAATATTTTCTACTGAGAAGCAGGACATAAAAGCATAAAAATGTTATATATATTAAGACGGAGAGAGGCTGTACAGTTCTTGCAACTAGAACTAACATTTATTGTTTCCCCCCACAGTATGACCACCACCCTTTTCCCGTGGCAAAAACCCATGGTAGAAGGAGCAAATAAACAGATACCAATGTACGGAAAGTGATGGGTGGTCGCAATGCGGGAAGCAACATTAAATGTTGTTGCTAGTTTACAAAAAACTGCCTCCTTCCCTATACGTTTTTCGTTCTTTTCCGTCCCTCTCTTCTTCACCAGCTAGCTCATTCTTCAGAACAGTTTTGCTCATGAACACTGTAGACTAATTAGGGCCACGAAATACAGCCAGTTGCTTGCAGGATCTTAAGCGAACATTGGGTACAACAGGGTTAGGATAGGCATCAGGGGTAAACTTGTGGGCCATCTGAGCAACACCTGGCATGATGTACAGGCTCAGGCTATTTCATATTTTGTGTAAAACGTTTGATAAGTATGCAGCTCATGCACAACAAGGTGTCAGAAAAGATGTGACCAAGTCAAAGAAGTTCCATGTGCGAGTACAAGAGAAACCCACCTAGGCAAGCAGAGTCGAAGTGAAAACAATTGAAGTCAGAAAGACGTCATGTGACATGATTGCAAACATGGTGAATTCTATGGAGCAGTCGTTAAACAGGAACGTCACTACGCCATTTTCCAGATCATGAAACATCCCCGCAAGCCTGCTGCCACTCCTTAGGGTGGTGTGTCAAGTTTGGCGACAAAACTGACATCGGGGGAAAGGGCTGAGCAACACTAAGCATGGCGTACAGGCTGGTGCTATTTGGTCTTTCATCCAGGAAGTCTCATAAAAAAATAGTTGATGAACAGTAGCAACTGCACTAGAAGTTTGCTATGGAAGCATCTAAAGACATGCAGGAAGGTGATAAGGTTGAAATGCACTCATAGAGCAGCAGATTAGGCATATCTCAAACTTTTATCTATGTGCGGCAGAAGCGTATATGAAACTCTTGGCTATGTGCGTTTTCTATTTCCAGGAAGTACTGGTTCACAGCATACAGCCAGTTTGTCTGGTGGATTTGGGGACGACTGTGAAGGTATTGCCGCGTCAGACACCCGTGGTGTGTAGTGGCCAGAATAAGAACAGAATTCCCGTTAGCAACATACACAGGTTTTCACGAAGCTTGATCGAAGCGAGTACTGTGGGCAGACTCTGCAGCCTCCTTGTTCAGCCCCTCAGTGACACTCCAGAGAAGTAGCTGAGGAGAACGGGGTTCGTTGACAGCTGCGGCCTCCTTGTACGTCGGAGGAGCTTCTGCTAATCCCAGGCACGAGTTGAGGAGCCTCTGGACTTCGTCTGCGAAAATAGTGTGATAGTCAGCCTGCAACTAATGTCTCCATAAAACATTTGTGCTTACCATATGGCGCAGGCTTCATGATTTTGCAGAGGACCCACTTGCCCTTCCTGGACTTTCTTCTTTGCATCAGGTTGGAGTTTTCATTATAATAAAGGACGGCAATAGAAGTCCTGTGAAGGCGACATGAATGGGGAGCATAGACTATCTGTAAATGCATGACCTCGGCGTATGGCTCAAGCAAATATCAAAATTCCAGCTTACCGTGCCACCATGCCCTCAAAGCTGGAATATGTGGACTTTGGAGTATATCTCAGCATCAGGCTGTGGAAGGACTCAAGGCGGAAGGTGTGGCCCTCTCCAGACAGCCTTGGGATGTCCTTAAGCAGCTGTTTGGCCATCACGATCTTCTCTAGCGCCATGTATGGCTCAGTCCCTGCACTCAAAAACAGAACCAAATTGAATGGGCAGGGAAGCACCCAATATAGAATTTCTTGCTTTCTCTCAATAGCTCTTTTTTTTAGTCTGCTCACGAGTTGCAGCTGCAACTTTTCGTGTTCAAAATTGTCAACAAGCTGGGTTTAACCTTTCAGTCATTCACATTGGTAGAACTTTGATTTCGCTCAGGAATTTTGTGCGCAGAAAAAGTTTCATTATGCGGAATTGCCTTTTTGTTTAATTTTTTTGTATGTTACATACCGCAGTTTTTTATGTTTGCTTCTTTGTTATGCATTGTTTCATGGATTCAGGATAAGAAGCTTAGCTGACAATTTGATTTGAAAAAATGCCAAAATCCTTTTAAATGAAATCTACGTTACCTTCATGAAGCCACCAGCGGTCCTCGATTGGGCCAAGCGTACCAGCAGGTTACGGTGGGCTAGGGTGCTGGTGAACATCTATGGAATGTAGCATCACTGACACCCATTTTGAAAGCACCAGCATGCCATCATCGTTGCTTGTCTCGGCACACCAGTAGACATGTACACGCAGAGTCTTGACCCGTGCATTCAAGGCACTGTTCCTTTGACCTTGCCCGCCGTGGCCATTTTGCTCCCAATGCCTAGAAATCGGAAAATATCCATGCATTGCGACCTCAATGGCAGCCTACCAAAGGTTTGTAAGCGTAAGTTGGTGTATAGAGTTAGTGAACCGTAGTACGGTAGGCTCGCAATAATTCAACCTCTGATATTTTCATACTTCTGGCAAACTAAAACAAATTTCAAAACTTTGGTTGTCCCGCTATGTTTCTAATGTAGTGATAAGCCGCTTAATTCGAATGGCATTTTCGTGTAATTCATACTTTCTGATCTTGCGATCCCGTTGAGTGCGCTTCTTTCCGAGCACCTGTGCACTGAGAGAGACATCCACGGAGCTTGCTTCCGCGGGTGTTGCTTCTTCGCAGTGGCCCGGTGCTTGGTGAAAAGCGCACTCAACGGGGCTCAAGCAGGGTGCACGTAAGCTATGCAACGGGCATCACGCAGAAATTTATATAGCAACTTGTGTGGATGCTGTGACATGGCGGCATGGCATAGGTCCGTCACAGTGTCTGCGCAACTTGCTATGAAAAATACCGCTTGGTGCAAGCTTTCATCTCTCATGTGTCCCGACCTAATAGTTAGCATTCGACGTCTTCTTGGCCTGGTGAACAAAGTTAATTTTGTTTTGAGTAGTAGTCCTGTGCCGCCTAAACAACATCTATGAGGGATTAATAAGCTTACGTCATACATCTGATAAATGCTTCATGCGTGGCTTTCCTGCTGATGATCAGTTGGCCTATTAGAGGAAAGCATCAAATATCTGCTTCGCATGTGTAGCCATTCATATCGCAAATCATAATCTTATCTTTCATCAATATTTAATTGAATTTCTGATAAGTCACACAAAATTGGTGGCTTCCTGGAGTTTGAAGTAATGATTTT